GGACCAGGATGTTGTGGCTTATGTTGTGTTCGCTGTCATTTTTTGCAATTTAGTCTTGTTGTCAGGGCGACCTATTTGGATGCACGTTGTCTGAAGTACTCTCTTGCAGTATTTATGATAATTCCCAGCGTTGTAGTAATCCAAGTTCACGGTCCCAAGCTGGAAATTAACACAACTATTATTTGTAGGGACTTCGGACCAGGTGCGTCCAGTTGGGCCGCCCTATCAAGACTGATAAGTTGCAAAAGTTGGCGACATCGCATTCAATTATTAATATGAAAGTGTTTATTTTTCTTCACTAAGTTATAATATGCAAAATTAAATCCGAATATAATGAACTTAAACACGTCCAACACGTTTAAGTACATCTTAATATTCGGCTTCCTATTTGATACAAATCCCATTTGAATCTGAATCACGATGAAGGTGCCAAAATGTATCCGTTTTTGCTTTTACGAGTCAACATATCGCCAAAAATGTAGCTGTCGAATGATTTACATAGAATTGTGTATGACTTTTATGCCTTCATCGGGAATTCTCTTGCCTATTACGCCAGGTATCCGACTCCCACTGGGGGTCTGAATGAGAAGAGGCTGAAGTCAAGTGAATGTTAGGTTCAAACACATATTTTGGACTATCACAAGCAAAACCAAGTCATCTTTTCACTTCTATGCAATAATCTAGACTATCATTGTACACAATATATGATAAAAAATGCTGCTTTTATCCACAAAACCTCGAATACTGATACTTGCCAGAAGTCGCTACTACCACTCTCAAGACAATTACGCGATCATGCTTCTAGGCCGACTCGACACAAGCTTGACCCCCGGAAAAGATGCGAGTTATGCGCAAACAGAGTCAAGAGTTTCGTCCACATAAACGATTAGCAATTTCCAGAATTGTCAAATGAGTCTGCGAAATATCAATGCTGTCGACAATGTTGAATTGTACGAGCGTAAAGAAATAGTGATCAAAATGACCATACAAGAGAGAAATACACATAGAACCTCACATGATATCTACTTACAGTCACATTTGCTCATAATTTTGGATCTTTTTACGGTGCAAGTGTTGAGCTGTTCTGCCCAGAGGTAGGTGATGCGTTGGGATATTCGCTCTCCCCTTAAACTGCAGTGTCCATGATAGTGATAGCTCCCTCCACACGGCACGCAGGATCCACACGAGAGTCGGCATTGC